CTGGACAGTTGGCTTAAGGTCATTTCATATGAATTCAATAATTTACAGATGTTGTACATTTCCGTTTTCTAAAATTATAGTGTTAATTAAAAGATAACACACACACACACAAACGCATATCTATATATATACACATATATAAACACATGAAAATATAAGAAAAACGGGAAATGAAAGGTTAATTAAAGAGAATGATACTGTATAGATGAATAATTGACATTGTATAATGATAAATTGTCAAATTATCTATATCCTTATATTGAGAATGACACACAACTTGTTGAAATGAGATTACTTTTTCTAAAGCTTAGGTCATACATAAATGATCAATCAATCATACGATGAAGTTTCTTTTTCGTGGGTTGATAGGGTTTTATTGATTTGATTTATAATTCTTTAAATAGTACAATACATATAATCGCCCCTAAATGTCCTGGTACGAATGAGGTTGGGGAGAGTCAGCTCTCTCTATCTCTCTCTATTCGAATGATCTCACATGATCACGTGCATACAGCCATTGACATAGAAGTCCTATTTACTACCTTCTCGTATCACGGATGTAGTTTACGAAATTGAGAGAATGAAAATAGAATGTTTGAGTTGATGGTTTAGTTAGGAGAGTTAAAAAACCTTCACCTTTCGCCTGTTGCTCCTCGTGAAGGAGCATAGGCCGCTTACCAGCATTCTCCATCCAACCGTGTCCTGGGCAATCCTTACCAGCTCTTTCCAGTTCTTATTCATCTCTTTCATATCCGCTTCTATTTCCCGTCGTAATGTGTTCTTTGGCCTCCCTCTTTTCCGCTTCCCTTCAGGATTCCAAGTCAGCGCTTGTCTCGTAATGCAGTTTGATGATTTCCTCAATGTATGTCCTATCCATTTCCATCGTCGTTTCCTAATTTCCTCTTCAGCTGGCAGCTGGTTGGTTCTCTCCCACAAAAGACTGTTGCTGATAGTATCCGGCCAATGGACGTTGAGTATCTTCCAAAATAATAGTGCTTGGAGATTCAAACTCAGAAAATCACTTTTGATCATGATTAACTTTACGTAAAACTGGAATGATAACCATTGCAGATGATTATTGGACAAACATGAACTTGTAATTAAAACAATTGGATTGAGTGATGTCTTTTGATCCGTTATATACGTGTAAAAAATTAGTTTAAGTGATTAGTGAGAGCTAACTAGTTCTAACCTTTATGTAATCCTTACTATTGATCGAATTCTATTGATTGAATCCCAGTTGGACCATAAGCCTGTGTGACTAGACACTATTGCCATTATATTTTAATATTAGGTTGTAAGAGGTAAATGACAGAAAACCTTGCAGGTATGTTTTGTTTTGGTTAATACTTGATACTTAATGGCTGAATAGACCAACATTTATATCTCAAACTGTAATGCAAGGTAACATGATTGTAAATCATGCAAAGAACACCATTTCAGTCAAGCTTCCAGTTAGCATAAAACATAAGTTATTATAAAATTGTCAGAAGAACAGCTTCAATTGTCTAATATATCTCAATAGTTGAGATCATGAGTTATTTGAAGCTAGACCACCATGGAAAACCTGGTAGCACTTGACAGTCATTTCATCTTATTGTGAGACTCCTCAGCAGTGCGCATCCACGACCCCGCCTAGAGGGATTCGAACCCAGGGCCTATCAGTCTCGCGACAGGCGCTTAACCAAAAATTTATAAAAACTTAGGGAATGAAGATTTAGGATACCCAAAGTCAGAATGTGGAATTAACTAATAAACAGCTTATTTGGATTTAATCAGAGTTGAAATAGGAAAAAGTATGACAGTAATCTCTCCTTTCTGATAATACTCATCATATGCTCACTTGTGACTGGCTTCAAGATGTGATTTTGGAGTTCTATTAAGTAAACGTGACCAATGGAGTCAAACTGTGTCAGTTGTGAAGCATTTACGCCCTGAAAATAATGAATAACGGTGCCGCAATATCGTGAATTAGTTAAAACTAGACATTAACACCGTAGGATGATGGCTCAGCAATCTGGAGCTTAAGCGTTCGCATATGGGACCAGGGGTCCTGGGTTAGACTCCTGAGTGTGGGGTCGTAGATGCACACTGTTGAGGTGTCTCATGCTAGAACGAAACAGCCATCCAGTATTTCTAGGCTTTCAGTGATTGTTTAGCTTAGACTGATACATGAATTCAACCATTAAATCACTAAAATTTCCACAAACCCTCATTTTGAATAAAAAACTATCTGTCAGTCATTGCTACCTGGAAACTCAATAATATTACGTAATAGAAGATGAACACATCCAACACTCAATATATTTTTTAAATGTGATAAGTAACAGACTGAAACCATATGCGGTAACCAAGTAGTTTACAGTGCTTAATAAATGTACAATATTTAGATCTTTCAGGTCTTTTTTCCATTCAATCAATAAGTGAGTATTGCATTTTAAGGAAAATTATGTAATTTCCTACTGACAAATTTTATTTTAAGCATTTAAAGATATTCAGGAAGAAACGCTGGAAGTGGATACGATACACATTGAGGAAAGCAGCCAATTATTTCACAAGACAAGCACGCAATTGAAATCCCCCAGGTCAAAGTAAAGAGAAAGACCGAAGAACATAATAGGCTAAGAGATGGAGACAGACATGAGAAGAATGAATAACAATTGGATAGAACTAGAAGGGAAGGTCCAGGACAAAGTTGGTTAGAGAATGCTAGTGGGAGGCCTATGCTTCGTTGGGAGTAACAGATGTAAGTAATTGGGATATCAAGGTGTATAGATAACTAAAAATTCAATTCAATTCGAGTCCTAGAATAATCATCAACTCTGCAATGCAGATAAATCCAGTTAATAAGTCCTAAATAAGACAAAACGTGCTCTTTACTGTATTCCATTGCTAGCCACTATCTATCTTTGAATAATGATGTTACTTTTATAAAGTAGGACAGAGTTGGAATGTCGGTGACTTAAAGTGTCAAATGTTTACTACTGAAATACAACAAGATTGTTTTTATTTCTTTTAAGCAAATTTTCAAATCCAGCTTATTTACAATAAAATCAATTAGAAAAATTAAATTCCGAAAACAAGAATTCTCTCTTAATAATATCAGTCACATCAAATTCATTGATTGATATGAAGAAGAGATAATTCATAGTTTTATTCAAGAACTCGTCAATTTATTAGTTGAATTCATAAGTTAATTAAATCTAGACCACCAGAGAAAATCTGGAAGCACTGGACAACTATTTCATCTATGTATGGGACTCCTTCACAATACACATCCACTATCCCACTCCATAAGATTCAAACATAGAACCTATTGATCTCGTGCGCGATCGCTTAACCTCCAAATCACTGAACCGTCATCCAACAATGTTTAAAACTACAAATGATCGATCTCTTTTTCAAGATATGGGCATCCTGTATAAATTGCTTCAATATTGCTTTAAATTACAAGCATTATGAATAGAGATGAATGATAGCTAACATTTAAATCCAGGATATACATTTCGTCCCACTTATAACTTGTCAGTTGAATGTAATTACATTCCAGAATTGATGTTCACTCCAAGACTTATACACAATATTGTTCAATTCAAAGGTTAATATGTTACATGATTGATTATTTAAGAGAATAAAAATTAATATTTGCTGCATATAACAAACAGTTCAACCTTTAAACATCAATATACTAGTTTATATGTTTAATACTATTTATAATCACTTTGATTTATTCATCATAGTTTTAATACAATTAATGGCTACATTTTGTTACCATGTCATTGATTATATTCAACATATTATATTACATAACGCACAATCAATTATGAATAGTTTTTTCAGTTAGATTCATTAAACATATGGATACATTGTCATCAGTTAATAGATCCCCCTTTTAGCTTTATCAGAAGATTTTTATTGATTATCTATTTCTTGATGTATTTTTCATGAATTATATAATTTCTTCAAACAAGCAGAGAAATCTATCAAGCACTGAAATAGTTCTAACTTTCGTAAGATTAGATGGTGGTTGAAGGTAGTAGACAGGAAACCCTGAACCCGGGTCTTGTGCTACTTGGCACTCGTCAGCAAGATGTACCTGTAATCTTTGAGGGAACTGATGCTCCCTGGGTTTCCTGTCGACTACCTCCAACCACCATCTAATCTTACAATAGTGCCCGCAGTGTCGAGTCACCTAGACTGGTGGCCACATTGCAACATGATCGATAGCATTTAATCTGCACTAATAATAAAGACTAGACACGTATGACATTGGTCATCCAGTGATCAATCAATTGTCAGTTCTAACTTTCATTAAGGCGAGACTATAATAATTTGGACAAACCAATCAGATTTATGATAAAAAGTCTTGGATTTCGGCACGACATTCTTCATCCATTTAGTTAAATAGCATCTTGGTATTTTATCTGATGTCAGTTCAAGATGAAATCCATAAATCTAATTCTTATCCCTAATCATCAATTGTAAATCATAATGATTATTCTTCACACAGATTTAATCATAGTGGTTCGGTGGATATTGTCAAAGTCACTTTACTATTGCTCAAAGGTCATCCATATAATTAATATTGAAATTAATCTACAGTTGTTACTATGTTGTTGTTCTAATTTTAAAAAAAAATAGACAACAATCATAGTAACAATCAAAAACTATTATTTTAATAAACAAATAATCATGAGTCAGTTGAAGTTAGACCACTATGGATAACCTGTAAGCACTGGACGGATGTTTCATCCAATTGTAGGACTACTCAGCAGTGAGTCCTATGTTCGAATCTCGTGCACTATTGAGGAGTCCTACAATAGGACAAAACAGCTGTCTAGTGCTTTGAGGTTTTCCATGGTAATTTAACTTTAGTTGACTCATGATCATAACCATTGAAATGACTATAATCTCCATAAAACCCATCTAAAAATAAAGAATTCATAAATTTTTTTTTAAAATAAAAAAAATTATAATAAAAATTAATATAATTCACTTACTTCTAACCATGTAGCTAATGGCATAACTAATATTGCTAAACTAATATCAGCTATAGCTAAACTAACTATAAACCAATTTGTTGCATTTCTTAATGAACGTTCACGTATTACACTTAATACAACTAATGAATTACCAAATAATGTAGCAATTGAAAATATCAATAAACATAAACACCAATAACGTCTTTCTAAATGTATTAAATGATTAGTTGTATTATTTAATGTATTATATATAATAGATTGATTATTAATTATATGATAATGATCATAATAATAAGTAGTATTATCAGTAGTATTAATAGTGATAATAATATTATTGTTCATTGAAATGAACTCATAAAAACTAATTGATTATTTATTCATTCTATTATTCATAAGATCTTATTTAAGTAATCATATCATTATCATAAATAATTCCATGGTTATTTATGTTTTATATATGAATTCAAGTAAACATTTCCAATATATATATTTTCCTTAGAAAACAATCCACAAGATAGGTATTTCTGGCAAAAGTAAACAATAAGATAATATTCAATACACAAAAATATTACAACATGTTTGATTTTTTGTTTTTTTTTGTTTTGTTTGTTTGTTTGATCTTTTTTTTTTGTTTTTTTGAGCAATCGGGAATTATTATTCTTAAATAATGTAAAATAATAAAATAAACATTATGATTGGTTGAATTGTTTTAACCAATCAGAATTTTCTATAAGAAAAAAAACTATTATTACAAAAAGCATATTGACCAATCAAATGAGAGTTAGTTTTCTTTTGGAAAAATAATGCGTTCATTATTTTTTGTGTTTTTTTTTTAATTACCCAGTGATTTTGAAGTGTGGTGAGTGTTTTGATGAATATTGAAAGAGTTTACAGAATGCAGATATTAATAACAACCTTGAAGCACTGGACGGTGGTTTCGTCCTATTGTTGGACTTCTCAACAGTGAGCATCCACGATCCCGCCACTCGCGAGATTCGAACTCAGGATCTATTAGTCTCGTATGAGAACGGTTAACCATCAGACTACTGTGTTGGCCGATATTCAATGGTGTTAATGTCTAGCTCCAACTAATCCACCGAATTGCGTTACCGTCCACCATTGTCTTCAATGAGCTGATATCTCACAACAAACCTGATTGAACTCCACTGGTCACTGCTTCTCACTAGAACTCTAGGAATTTCCTCTTAAAACCAGTTACTAGTGAGCATATGATGATTATAATCAGAGGGGGATATTGTGGAGATCGTAGTCATTTCAATAGTTGAAATCAACTATTAAAATGACTACGATCTCCACAAAACCCCTTCTGATAAAAGGAAATAGGCATTGTGTACTTGATTATTTATGTATATTATTCCATATTACTGCTAGAATTGAAGCGATCACGAGTTCAGTTAATCTGCGGACGAGAACTAAGTCTCGTAAACCAAAAGACCAATGAAATAAATATTCTGATGTGTCTTAGCTCTGCTAACTAGAGGAAGAAGTCCAAGCTCGGAATGAGGAAGTATATTCTGCAAAAAGCCAGAAGCACGAGCGATAACAACAAACAGAAGTCAAAACGTATATATACAGCACAAAATCGTCCTTGGGGAGAGTTACCAAATAGCATACTAAAAAACACAACGGACCAATACCATTTAAGATATTTCCCAAGTGTGAAATATGACATGAAGGTTAAAATAAACTCTTTTGACGCGAAAACAAAGAAATTTAAATTTTCTAAATAAAATCACAAAATTAGGTCCTTTTCCAAGTGAGTTCTAGGAATCTAACGTTTCCAAAAATTACCTTATCATAAATTAACTTCTTAAGGTATTCTATGTCAAAAATAAAGACTACGAACCTATAAATGAACAATAACCATGTCAAGTCAGAATGATATTTATAACAAATTGTCACAGTATCCTTAGGAACTACAACCTCAGAACAATGATGTTAATGATATGCTTTTTTTTCTTTTAAACAACATGATATACTACTCATTAATTTTACCCTAGATTATGATGTTCAATGTATTTGAAAAGAAATTCAATCAATATTCTACCATCCTCAAATTGTATTGACTAACGTATTCTTCTCCCCCTTTGAAAATCATGTAAGAACTAGAAATAATGGACATATTTCAAACCATTAAGACAATTTTATAAATCAAAGAAAAACCTATTGAGTATATATAGTTACCTGTTTAATTTGATGTTTCACGCAAAACTATGATTGAAGCTTTTTAAGAATCTAGGGTATTATTCGGTTAGTGATAAATAAAATTTTAAAAAAACCAAATTTTTGGTCACTACTTATAAGACTAGTTTTTTTGTAAGTACAATTTTTGTGAACATTCATTATTCGACATTATATCATAGGAATACAATAAGAGAACTACTGATCGATAACTAGAACTTAATTCTATTTAATGGTTATTGACTTCATTGATTTATTTATTTGAACACATAGATATTGGTATAAGGAGGTACCAAATAGATATGCGCCGTATAAATCTCATTTGATTTGTGTGAGAGCTGTGATACTGCTTGGGTGCCCAAACCGAAGCAGATGGTTTTCTTAGGGGGCTATACTTGGAGCTTTTAACCTTAAGGTCTAAACCACAAGGCAGTTGGACATCGTAAGGAGATGTAGTCCCATGGTAGCTGGTGACCAACGATTGGTTCATACGCCAAATTCATTGTATTTATGCTGTCTACCATGTCTAATAGTGCTACATAAGCTTTCTATATATGATCTAGATTAGCCATTTGCATGGAAATACTAAGAATCAAAGGAAATTATTATGTACAAAGATCATCTATTCACAAATATACATCCTTTTCTCATAGAAATAAGGACAGATTCGACCAAACGGAACATGTCTCATTCTTTAGAAAACTAAACTATATGTCATCCAATGGTATTCATATATTTTGTAAACTGCGTCTGTATGGCGCAACGTATTATCTTTCTCTAGAAAAATATGTGACTGACTTCTTGCGTTTAACTGTCGAATTCAAAGTAGTTGTGCATCAGACTGTGGTGTTTGAATGAACTAATGACTCCTTTGTACTTGTTGAATGTTTGGTTTCGAATTCTAAATACAGTACATTCGTTAGTGCTTGTGTAGTACTTCTTGATTCAATTGCGTTATCCCTGGGATTCTTAGTTCATACTATAATTCAAATACTTCTAATTATCATATTGGCGTCGCGATGGGGCCTGCGATGGAACAGTTAGATATTCATTCAACCTCTGAAGCTTTGGAAGATTATTTGGAAAGGTTTGAAATCCGGAGCATGACCAAGAAAGATGATGAGGATATTAATATTGTGGCACATTTTCTCACATTCATTGGAAAAGAAGCATATGGCTTATTAAAAATTTTGGCTTCACCGGAAAAGCCCATTTTTCTTCCTTATACAACTCTCAAGGAACTACTTCTAGACTATACTAAGTATACAAATTTCGAATGCGGTAAAAGGAGATTTCGTAAAATAATTTATGAGGATATAAAAGATTCCACTACATTACGTCACCCCATCCCAGTGCATACTCAAGGTTGTGCAGTTCACGAAGATGGGCACAAGTTTAGTCAATGTTTTTCTTGTGGCAAGTTCCACCCTTTTAATTCATGTAAATTTTGTAATTGTAAGTGCTTTAAATGTGTTGATGTTGGACATATTCAGTCAGTTTGTAAAACTACTGTTCATCTTGCTGCAACTAATATTAAGTCTTTCGATTCTGATTCTATTAAGTTGAATATTTATAATGATCATTTATCTTTATCGACGATTTCAAAAGACAGTTTAGAGTCATATAGCAATTCAGAGTTAAATGAAACTCAAGATTCTTGCGAGACAACAATTTCTAATGAATCAACCTATCAGATTTCTCATGTTATTGTACCAGATATGATTTTTCCTAATGATTCACATATTTCTGATGAAATTTCTTACAAATCTGGTGAAAATATTTCGGATGAACCTAATCATGATCGAAAATCTGATGTAGTCTTGATTGATGCTGATTTTTCTAACGATCCTTTACTCTGCAATGACATTCTTAATAAATTCGAGGAAACTATTTCAGAAGAATCGAATCTTGATGTCATATCAAATATTGTTTGTCCTCATGATGCATTTGTTTCTTGTGAGAAACTTGTTCAATGCGAAGCACGAGTATTAAATGAGTTAGAGTTTGATTACAATTCAGATAATTCCATATCAACTGTTGTTTGTCCTTATCATAAATTCACTTCCAATGTTTACTCTAGTCAAATTGAGAAAGATGTTTTAAATGAAGCCACATTATTCATAACTTGGGGATATGATGATCCGACATTATTTCGTGGGGGAGGATAGTCTGTGGTTCATATCTTAGGTAGTAGTTCCAGTATTCAACCGGCATGGTGATTGTTCACAATCCCAGAAATCAAGTGAGTCTGTTCCGATTTCAGTTGTTAATTCTAATACTAATGAGTGCATTCTAGATAATACAGAGTCTTTATCCAATACATTGTCGGACAGACACAGTATGAACTTGAAAAGAAGACGTTCAATTGATTACAGACACTTAGACTCTAATTTAAGCTGCGGCGGATGTGGTGTTTGAATGAACTAATGACTCCTTTGTACTTGTTGAATGTTTGGTTTCGAATTCTAAATACAGTACATTCGTTAGTGCTTGTGTAGTACTTCTTGATTCAATTGCGTTATCCCTGGGATTCTTAGTTCATACTATAATTCAAATACTTCTAATTATCATACAGACTTACAGTTATTAATAGAAAGAAAGCCATTTCTAATCAGGTACAATTTATGATAGCCAACTACAGTTTGGTTGTATTGTTTCCATATTTATTGATCCATTGATGAAAATAGAATGTATGGTCTTTGTACAGTCTCAATTACTTGGATATCTTTAATCGATGAAGCAATCAATAAGAAATTCTTATCTTTTATTTAATGCTTATTCTCTATTAACGACAATCATTTAAACGAATAACAATGATTCACTTTACACGTCAGAGAATATCGACTAGGGAATAATGTCACATTACCGATAACCATAATAACAGTTTGAAATCTGGAAGATTTTTCAATGTAAATTGTAAAATATGAATTTACATTCTGAATTATGTTTAAGTTTGCAAAAACTAGACATTTTAAATTGATATGTTATAAGGTTTTTCCGGAATATAATTGAATTCATGAGTCGATTTAAGCTAGATTACCATCATTGAAAACCTGAAAGCACCAGATGGTCGTTTTGTTCTAGTATGGGACTCTTCAGCACGCGTGAGGGAAGGTCCGGGGTTTGAGCCTTGCCTGTGGGATCGTGAATGCGTTCTATTGAAGAATCCCATACTAGGTTAAGACGGATGTCCAGTACTTCCAGGATTTTAATGGTGGTCTAAATTACTACAATCTTCGCAAACCCCCATTCTGATAACATATTATTATTACTATACATATAAAGTTAAATAATTTTGAAACATTCTAACTACTTATGGTTGGTTGATCAGTAATACTCTAAAGACTTGAATCTTTAAATATGGACTTTTACTGAATCTCAAAATTTCTCTATTGTTGAAACCCGAAAATTATTGAAAAAGCTTCA